CCCGTCCTCGACTCAAGTCCATTACATCCAGCGGTCGACCCCACAGACGCATTCATAAATTTTAACATGCTGTTCATTCAAAACGGGAATTTTCTCAAGTATAAATTAATATTATAATATATTAGCATATTGTGCATATATAGGCATAGGTTAGGTTAGGTGTTTAGGTTCTGTTGGCGATTATTTGTATTTGTAGTACGTGGGTGAAGCATTTATAGCGTTGTGATTCGAACAAAATTCGTCAGTGAAGCACTTGTTCCGGATATGTTCGAACGTCAGCAGTTGTGAGTCGTGTGTAAACCGCTTTTCATTCATAAACAGCTGGGGGTTTGGCGGGTGGATGGAATCACTTTTGGATCTTTGTTTGGAGGACGGGCTGTAATATGGGCTAATAGGTGCTTCATATGGGCTAATAGAAGCTGCTTCACAAGGAGAATAGTTAGTACCTCGTATGGACCAATAGGAGCTGCCTTGTAAGGACCAATAAGATCTACTTTTTAAGGACCAATAAGAGCTGCCTCGCATTGGATAACAACCCATTCGTAGACTCTTTTAATCCTACCATCTCCCGCCCAAGCCTCACCCCTGACACTAAGCACACCTCAACACAACCAATTTATAACACAAGAAAAAGGCGTAATGATACACACATTTCTTACAATATTTACTATAACAGCTGCACATGTACACAAAGAAGCGAACTCACGTTGGGGGATTGAACATCTTACAAAATTACAAATTTGAAATTCCTTGTCGTTCTCAGCTGGTCTCGTGTGTGTGGTGTTCCAACAATGTCCACACTCACATTCACTGGGCATTTCCTGTTTTAAACCATTTATTTTGATAGATGATGAACAGCATTCTAAAAATGACAATATGATGGACACCATTCTAAAAAAAATTAATATGATGGACAACATTCGAAAAAAATAGACAATATGATATGGACATGTATTAGGTATGACCGTGAGGACAAACAATGTTTTGTATGATTATTGGAAACATAATTAGGTTTTTCATATGTAATGTATTAGCTGAGAGTATGAGTTACCTGTACACGTGGCAACATGGTAATATGGATGTATGAGGGAGGGTGAGTAAGTGCATGTGTCGGTGTGAGTGTATGTATGGGTGTGAGTGCATGTGTGGGTGTACAAGTGTGTGAGTGAGTGTGTGGGTGTACAAGTGTGTGAGTGAGTGTGTGGGTGTACAAGTGTGTGAGTGAGTGTGTGGGTGTACAAGTGTGTGAGTGAGTGTGTGGGTGTACAATTTGTGAGTGAGTGTGTGGGTGTACAAGTGTGTGAGTGAGTGTGTGGGTGTACAAGTGTGTGAGTGAGTGTGTGGGTGTACAAGTGTGTGAGTGAGTGTGTGGGTGTACAAGTGTGTGAGTGAGTGTGTGGGTGTACAAGTGTGTGAGTGAGTGTGTGGGTGTACAAGTGTGTGAGTGAGTGTGTGGGTGTACAATTTTGTGAGTGAGTGTGTGGGTGTACAAGTGTGTGAGTGAGTGTGTGGGTGTACAAGTGTGTGAGTGAGTGTGTGGGTGTACAAGTGTGTGAGTGAGTGTGTGTGGGTGTACAAGTGTGTGAGTGAGTGTGTGGGTGTACAAGTGTGTGAGTGAGTGTGTGGGTGTACAAGTGTGTGAGTGAGTGTGTGGGTGTACAAGTGTGTGAGTGAGTGTGTGGGTGTACAATTTTGTGAGTGAGTGTGTGGGTGTACAATTTTGTGAGTGAGTGTGTGGGTGTACAAGTGTGTGAGTGAGTGTGTGGGTGTACAAGTGTGTGAGTGAGTGTGTGGGTGTACAAGTGTGTGAGTGAGTGTGTGGGTGTACAATTTTGTGAGTGAGTGTGTGGGTGTACAATTTTGTGAGTGAGTGTGTGGGTGTACAAGTGTGTGAGTGAGTGTGTGGGTGTACAAGTGTGTGAGTGAGTGTGTGGGTGTACAAGTGTGTGAGTGAGTGTGTGGGTGTACAAGTGTGTGAGTGAGTGTGTGGGTGTACAAGTGTGTGAGTGAGTGTGTGGGTGTACAAGTGTGTGAGTGAGTGTGTGGGTGTACAAGTGTGTGAGTGAGTGTGTGGGTGTACAATTTTGTGAGTGAGTGTGTGGGTGTACAATTTTGTGAGTGAGTGTGTGGGTGTACAAGTGTGTGAGTGAGTGTGTGGGTGTACAAGTGTGTGAGTGAGTGTGTGTGGGGTATCGCTGTACGGAGTCTGCCTCCACCACATCACAGCCTAGTGCAACGGTTCTCTATGGCGCAGATGCAACCATCTCTCACCTCTCCATGGAGGACAGAAGAAAAATATGCTGATTACCATTGTAAATGTGTGGCGACGTCTGTGGTAGAACATAATAATAATATAACATAAAACTGCCTAGTACCATTTGGCAACTACTCTGATTCTCAACAAATTCTTTCTCATGTCTCTGTGGCATATTTGGGAACTCTGTTTCCACCTGTGTCCCCTTCGTTGGCGATGACGTCTCCCCTAACTTCCCTTGTCTTCCAGTATACCTAGAGCATACCTGGAGAGGATTTCGCGAGTTATTCTATTCCCCGAGCCCGAGGCCAGGCTCATCTTGTGAGAGCTTGGTCCAACAGGCCCGTTGAACCGACCTTGTCAGTGTCGTGAGGTATAAATTTTGTAGCCTTTCACCGTAACTGTGTGGGTGTGGGAGTGGATGTCGCGGTGGGTGTGAGTGTGGGAGTGGATGTGATGTAGGTGTGGTTGTGGTCGAGGGTGGGTGTGGGAGGGTCTATTAATGTGTGTGTAGGTCTATAGGTGTGGGTGAATCTGTGGGTGTCGGAGTAACAGCTGATGTGGGGTGCTGGGTCCTCTGGAATGTCAATCTGGGGTATAGCAGACCTCGGGTCCAGTCGACCAGTATAACTGTGAGAGTTTGACAAATGCTCAGCAGAGAGAGAGAGACACACACCAGATGACCGTCTCCACTATGAGGGGCCAGGAGAGGCCTCATCCCGAGTCTGCCTTCACGGAGACACACCAAGGTTAACATGTTACAGATGGCCCAGACGAGCGATGTCGGCCAGGTAGCCCGCATTCCTGTGAGGAACAAGAAGATCTTCCTGTTGTAGCCTGTTGCCTGTGACACAGTACGAGGGTGGACCAATGGGGAGCATCCAACCAGTCAGAGAGAGAGAGAGAGAGAGAGAGAGAGAGAGAGAGAGAGAGAGAGAGAGAGAGAGAGAGAGAGAGAGAGAGAGAGAGAGAGAGAGAGAGAGACAGAGAGAGAGACAGAGAGAGAGAGACAGAGAGAGAGACAGAGAGAGAGAGAGGGGAATTCTTCTCTCAATAGCTCAGGGTCTTTAAGGTCAGCTGTTCCCCCCTTGCCCAAGGAACAGCTGGGTTGAGGTTGACAGGTGTCACTCAAGCTTACAGGCCAGGATACATCTGCTCCCCAAGCTTATACAGTTGGAATTTATTAAGATCTATTTTATTAAGATCTATTTCCATTAAGGTGTAAATGGTTGTCTGATCAATGTACTCAAGTCTGAGGGAAGGGAACAAGGTACACATGTACTGGGAACCAGGTATAGAGGTACTAGGAACCAGGTACAGAGGTACTAGAAACCAGGTACAGAGGTACTAGGAACCAGGTACAGAGGTACTAGGAACCAGGTACAGAGGTACTAGAAACCAGGTACAGAGGTACTAGGAACCAGGTACAGAGGTACTAGGAACCAGGTACAGAGGTACTAGAAACCAGGTACAGAGGTACTAGGAACCAGGTACAGAGGTACTAGGAACCAGGTATAGAGGTACTAGGAACCAGGTACAGAGGTACTAGAAACCAGGTACAGAGGTACTAGGAACCAGGTACAGAGGTACTAGGAACCAGGTACAGAGGTACTAGGAACCAGGTACAGAGGTACTAGGAACCAGGTACAGAGGTACTAGGAACCAGGTACAGAGGTACTAGGAACCAGGTACAGAGGTACTAGGAACCAGGTACAGAGGTACTAGGAACCAGGTACAGAGGTACTAGAAACCAGGTACAGAGGTACTAGGAACCAGGTACAGAGGTACTAGGAACCAGGTACAGAGGTACTAGGAACCAGGTACAGAGGTACTAGGAACCAGGTACAGAGGTACTAGGAACCAGGTACAGAGGTACTAGAAACCAGGTACAGAGGTACTAGAAACCAGGTACAGAGGTACTAAGAACACGGTAAGAACCAACGGTACTGTGTGTATTTGTATAACAGTTGTACTCGTCTAGTTGTGTTTGTGGGGGTTGAGTTCTGGCTCTTTGGTCCCGCCTCTCAACCGTCAATCAACAGGTGTACAGGTTCCTGAGCCTACTGGGCTCTATCATATCTACACATATCTACATTATAAACTGTGTATGGAGTCAGCCTCCACCACATCACTGCCTAATGCATTCCATCTGTTAACTACTCTGACACTGAAAAAGTTCTTTCTAATGTCTCTGTGGCTCATGTGGGTACTCAGTTTCCACCTGTGTCCCCTTGTTCGTGTCCCACCCGTGCTGAAGAGTTAGCCTTTATCCACTCTGTCAATTCCTCTGAGAATTTTGTAGGTGGTTATCATGTCTCCCCTTACTCTTCTGTTTTCCAGGGACGTGAGGTTCAGCTCCCTTAGCCTTTCCTCGTAGCTCATACCTCTCAGTTCCGGGACGAGTCTGGTGGCATATATCTGAATCTTCTCTAACTTTGTCTTGTGTTTAACTAGGTATGGACTCCAGGCTGGAGCTGCATACTCCAGGATTGGTCTGACATAAGTGGTATACAAGGTCCTGAACGATTCCTTACACAAGTTTCTAAAGGCAGTTCTTATGTTAGCCAGTCTAGCATATGCCGCTGATGATATCCTTTTGATGTGGGCCTCTGGGGACAGGTTCGGTGTGCGGTGTGATATCAACCCCCAGATCTTTCTCTCTATTTGACTCTTGCTGGAGTCAAATAGAGAGAGAGTGTGTGTGTGTGTGTGTGTGTGTGCGTGTGTGTGTGCTTGCGTGTGTGAGTGTGGGTGTGTGTAACACTGCTGCTAATAGGTCCATGACTTGTCATCCAGACATAAAAAATAATGATAAGAATAAATTACAAAAATGACACATACATCACAACTTATCTTCACGGAGCTCTGAACCGTCGACTCTCTTAGAACCCATCAGACTGTGAAGGTTCTGACCAGACTGTGAAGCTTCTGACCAAGACTGTGAAGATTCTGACCAAGACTGTGAAGCTTCTGACCAAGACTGTGAAGATTCTGACCAAGACTGTAAAGATTCACGTATCTCTAACAGTCACCAGAGACTTCAGGATGCAGCCTCCACAGACTCAAAGTTGTCTTCACTCTACGGTATTTACAAACAAGCTGAGTTTGGCCTTAATGTAGACAACTGAAGCACACTAGCATGACGGCTTCATGACCCCGCAGTGTGTCTTGTTTACAGCTGAGAGCATCCCCCTTCAGAAAAAAATTGGTTTTAGTTCAGTTTCCCCTGTTCTTCACCCCATGTTCTTCCTGTTTTCTATGTTGTTTATAGTGTTCCAATAAGCGTTCGTACTTGCTTGCAGTCTCGCCGTCCTCTTGAAGCAGGGAGGTTGTGTATGTGTTTCCCTGAAGGTTAGAAATTCGCCGTGGCGTCCAGATTTCATGACTACAGATGTTGCCATGGGCTGAGGGACGCTGCAATCTGTTGAGGGCTGCATGAAGCGGAGAGAGGACACGCTTGAAGCTTTCTTTTTGCTGCTGGCGAAGAGCCTCTCCAGTTGGCCAACTGTCTCGGCGTAGACAGGAACAGATTGACAGAACCCAGCAGTCAGTGAAGCTGCCGTCACTTCCAGGTGACTCACAGGATAGGAACCCAGCAGTGACTGAAGCTCTCATCTCCTCCAAGTCCCCCACTGAAGGCCCTGATAGTGTCCAGGCGGGTAAAGAAAATATGCCTCAAGTCTCTCAGTATCGCCAAAATGTGCCCCTGATTTGCTACATTTCCTAATAACAGTATATATTAAAATTACAACAGCATACTCGCCTACTTACTAGATAAGAATCCTATCTGTGCGACGGTGTCTGTACGCAGACACGCAAGTCTGTTGTCTGTGAGTCATTATATACACGCAAGAGCACCCTCCTCGCACCTTTCCGTATTCGTGAACAATTACACGAATGCTTCTTGGGGTCGTGAAGAAGCATTAATGCTTCTTGGGTCATCACGACTGTTTGCCTAATAATTGGAGCTTCAACCTTGAACCTGTGATTGTGTGTCTTCTCTGACCTCTGACTGCGGACGCCAGTCAGCAGCCTCTTGCGGCCAAACAAGACACTCGATATATATAAGTCTGAACACTTCGCATCTCACTTTTCATAAATGTTCGTGTTGACCTGCGCGTGTTTACACACACTTATGAGCTAAAACAACTGGAGTTTATTATTCCTTCACACACACTATCCCCCACAGTGCCCTACAACTCATTTTTCAATAGTATAATGTCTTAATATTGGCTTTTCTATGGCTTTTTGGAAATATTGGCTTTTCTAATGGCTTTTTTCACAGCCATTCAACAATATATTCCAGCCACCGATTGTTTGTATCAGGTCCAGGTCACGACATCCACGACAGGCACTGATCGTCACTAGGGTCAGACACAAGGCATCACTGGCAGGCACCAGGCATACACGACTTATACCAGTTCATGCCATAACTACACCAGGATCAAAACACCTCCAACACTCAAGCCACCGCTAACCACGCTGTTACAGGTCCTGGCTCCAGGTGTCAGGTGAAGCACTTGAGGTCACAGGTCACTGGCTCCAATAGAAGGCAGCCTCAGGTCATTCCAGCCCCAGGATGGGTTTGACGTCCATCATGAGAGGTTTAGAGATGGGGAGGTGCTGGGCGGTGGAGACGTGGGCGTGCATGGGTGCCATGGGCGGCACGGGCGTGATGGACGAGGTGTGGTACTGGACGCTCTCCAGCTTCTCCTTCTGCAGCAGCTCGTCTCGCTTCTTCATCTGCTTCCTCTCCTTGGCGCGGCGGTTCTGGAACCAGATCTTCACCTGCGGTAACACACGGAAATTATTAACATGAATTGCATTTATCATCGCAAAATTGTCATATATTTAATCTTATAGGAAATATATAGCTGTAAATTATAAGATATAAATTATTATGTAAATACTGTAAATATGTGTTATGTAATACTGTAAATTATATATATATATATATATATATATATATATATATATATATATATATATATATATATATATATATATATATATATATATATATATTATTAAATATGACCGAAAAAGTAAGATTAATAATTCTAACACGAATTTTTTCAATCTTTCGTACATTTCTTTTCACTGTTGGAGGTAAATCAAAAATCAATTCTCCAAAATTCATTTTTATTTCTAGTCTAGACTAGAAATAAAAATGAATTTTGGAGAATTGATTTTTGATTTACCTCCAACAGTGAAAAGAAATGTACGAAAGATTGAAAAAATTCGTGTTAGAATTATTAATCTTACTTTTTCGGTCATATTTAATAATATATGTCTACAGGAAAGACTGCTACCAAAATATACTAATATATATATATATATATATATATATATATATATATATATATATATATATATATATATATATATATATATATATATATATATATATATATATATATATATATATATATATATATATATATATATATATATATATATATATCAAACCACGAAGGAATGATTAAAACTAATTTCGTATTTAATAATACATCTTCAGAAGGAAGGATTTACAATTCAGAGATGTGAATACATTAGCAGAATGTGGTGAGGCGAGAAGCAATGTCTTTACTGGGATGTTAATAAGAGGATATTAACAACATTAAGGACACAGCAAGCTTCCACTCCGATGTTAATCAGGTCTTTCAATGGGCCAAAAAATAAATAAAAGGGTGTTTAATGAGGATAAATCCCAGTTTCAGTGGTGTGGAAAATACGAAAATATCAAAGCGGAAATCCCGTATAAAACGCAGCCTAATCAAACTATAAAATGAAAAAGCAATGTAAAAAGACTTTGTAATCATGTCGGAACACCTTTTTAAACAACACAATAAAGTAGCTGTCACAACGGCAAGAAAATTATAGGTTGGATAACGATAACCTTTCGGACAACAGATTTCAGACCAATGATGACACCTTTAAGACAATAGTGCTCTCTAGAGTGGAATATTATTGCACAATAATAGCCCCATTTATAACTGGAGAAGTTGCTGATCTGGTGAACGAGCAATGTCCTTTACTGCCGGCATCCACTCAATAAAAGCATCTAAATTATTGGGACAGAATTAATTTAACAAATCTGTATTCTCTAGAGTGTATGAGATAGATATATATAATAATTTACACTTTGAAAATATAAGAGTTACTGGTCTCAAACCTACACACAGAAATAACATCACATGAGACCAGGAGGCATGGCAGGATGTGCAGAACAGCCCCCCTTGGAAGACAGGTGCAATAGAACTGACTGATGAAGATTAAGCCGCCACAAGAGGTAGCACGGGCATGAGTAGCCCGCAGGTGGTAGATGTATGGAGTGAATGTGGTCTGCCTGCAATAGGAGAGTTGTTGTTGTTGTTTTAGATTCAACTACTCAGAACAATTAGTTACAGTAGCACGGACTATGGTGAGCCCGTAATTAGGAGAGATCAACATCAAGGGCCCAAGGCTTTTTCAGCACTTCCTCTAAACATAAGGGGCATAACTGGCCGACCTGATTACATATATACATACATATATACATACATATATACATACATATATACATACATATATACATGTCCTAAGCTTATAAGGACTTTGCTAAAGCTTCTGACAAGGTGCCACATAAGAGACTGGTAAGCATGGAATAAATGGGAGAATATTGAAATGCTTAAAACATAGAAAACAAAAAGGTCATGCTGAATGGGAATGAATGTGACTGGGGAAATGTGGTGAGTGGGGTGCCGCAGGGGCCCATTATGGGGCCAACACTTTTTGTCATGTACATCAATGACATAAATGAGAATATTAGCAACCATATCATCACATTTGCCGATGAGACAAATAAAGTGGCAAGTGAAGGTGATATTGAGACCTTACAAAGAGATCTACATGAAATATACAAATGGTCAGATGACTGACAAATGCTTTTTAATGTCGATAAATGGAAGACCTTGCATGTGGGGGACAACAATCTACCACAACTACGAAATTGACAACACTACTTTACAACATGTAGATGAAGAAAAGAACTTTGGAGTGAGAATCCATCATTCACTAAACTATCCACAACAAGTGGGAGCGGCAGTTCAAAAAAGCGAACCAAACCCTGGGAATAATTAAGCATAACTTTACCTTCAAGGAAAAGAAAGTAGTCATTCAATTGTTTAAGTCTCTGGTGCGCCTCCGCCTGGATTATTGCATTCTGGCATGAGATCTCATCTTCAGAAAGACATAGCTGGGCTGGAGAAGGGAGCCTCGTAGCCTGGTGGATAGCGCGCAGGACTCGTAATTCTGTGGCGCGGGTTCGATTCCCGCACGAGGCAGAAACAAATGGGTAAAGTTTCTTTCACCCTGAATGCCCCTGTTACCTAGCAGTAAATAGGTACCTGGGAGTTAGTCAGCTGTCACGGGCTGCTTCCTGGGGGTGGAGGCCTGGTCGAGGACCGGGCCGCGGGGACACTAAAGCCCCGAAATCATCTCAAGATAACCTCAAGAAGGAAGGTGCAACACCGGACAACAAAAATCATAACAGTCATCTGACGTATGAGGAACGGTTGAGGGCCACAGGGCGCACAGCACTACAGACCAGGCATGACAGGACGGATCTCGGTTGAGCGCGTAAGCCGGACGACTCAAATAGAAAACGGAACAGAACGTCACTTTTGTGAGTCGATTTCATTTCAAACTACGTCCAAATTTGGCCATAGTGCGCATACGAGCCAAAAGTGACGTTATTTTTAAGAGGACGGGTTGGGATCTCATCGAAACCTTCACAATACTGAACAATTTGGACGATGTTGGTCCGGACAATTTCTTCAAAATATCAGATGTAACACGAACGAGGAGCAACGAGTTCAAGCCAAACAAGCCACAATGTAGGACAGAAAACAGGAACCCGTGGAACCGCCTACCCTCCGAAGCCGTAAACCCCCCCAAAAACTCTGCTGGGGTTTAAAATACAGTTGGAAAAGATCATTAGGGCAAATGGGGGGGACCTTTGTCAAGCCGCCGGCTTTCTGTCCTCATCGAGGCCACTTATACTAATGGCCCTCAGGTTGTTGTAGTAGATTCAGCTACTTGGAACAAAAAGTTTCAAGTAGCACCGGCTATGGTGAGCCCGTAGTGGACTTACCTGGCACAGGAGCGGGGCAAGTAGCACGGGCTATGGTGAGCCCGTAGTGGACTTACCTGGCACAGGAGCGGGGCAAGTAGCACGGGCTATGGTGAGCCCGTAGTGGACTTACCTGGCACAGGAGCGGGGCAAGTAGCACGGGCTATGGTGAGCCCGTAGTGGACTTACCTGGCACAGGAGCGGGGCAAGTAGCACGGGCTATGGTGAGCCCGTAGTGGACTTACCTGGCACAGGAGCGGGGCAAGTAGCACGGGCTATGGTGAGCCCGTAGTGGACTTACCTGGCACAGGAGCGGGGCAAGTAGCACGGGCTATGGTGAGCCCGTAGTGGACTTACCTGGCACAGGAGCGGGGCAAGTAGCACGGACTATGGTGAGCCCGTAGTGGACTTACCTGCCACAGGAGCTGGGCAAGTAGCACGGGCTATGGTGAGCCCGTAGTGGACTTACCTGGCACAGGAGCGGGGCAAGTAGCACGGGCTATGGTGAGCCCGTAGTGGACTTACCTGGCCCAGGAGCGGGGCAAGTAGCACTGGCTATGGTGAGCCCGTAGTGGACTTACCTGGCACAGGAGCGGGGCAAGTAGCACTGGCTATGGTGAGCCCGTAGTGGACTTACCTGGCCCAGGAGCGGGGCAAGTAGCACGGGCTATGGTGAGCCCGTAGTGGACTTACCTGGCCCAGGAGCGGGGCTCTGGGCCCTCAGGAAACTACATATATATAATTAACTGGACACCTCACTACACATTGTGCCAAGAGAGCACAAACCAATCCTCCACAGGGAAGAAACGTGAAGATTACGGACCTTTCTCTTGCGTTCCTGCCCGAAACGCTTTGCGTAATAGTGGCTTTAGGCATTGTATGTACTAGCTCTTATCTATAAAGCCAACAAACTTTGTAAAATCTCTTTATGTATGTACCTTACCTAAATAAAAATTATTATTATTATTATTATCATTAACTTCACACACAAATATACAAGTTGACTCAGACAATGTAAGCTATGCTGCCTGAAGGCTGATCAGCATGAGCTTACTGTCTACATCAACTATGCTTATTCGTACTTGAACTATGCCAGTGTGACTGTATAGTGACGCATGCCAGTGTGACAGTATAGTGACGCATGCCACTGTGACTGTATAGTGACGCATGCCAGTGTGACAGTATAGTGACGCATGCCAGTGTGACAGTAGTGACGCATGCCAGTGTGACAGAGAATAGTGACGCATGCCAGTGTGACAGTAGTGACGCATGCCAGTGTGACAGAGAATAGTGACGCTTGCCAGTGTGACAGAGAATAGTGACGCATGCCAGTGTGACACAATAGTGACGCATGCCAGTGTGACACAATAGTGACGCATGCCAGTGTGACACAATAGTGACGCATGCCAGTGTGATAGAGAATAGTGACGCATGCCAGTGTGACAGTATAGTGACGCATGCCAGTGTGACAGAGTAGTGACGCATGCCAGTGTGACAGAATAGTGACGCATGCCAGTGTGACACAGTAGTGACGCATGCCAGTGTGACAGAATAGTGACGCATGCCAGTGTGACAGAGTAGTGACGCATGCCAGTGTGACACAGTAGTGACGCATGCCAGTGTGACAGAATAGTGACGCATGCCAGTGTGACAGTATAGTGACGCATGCCAGTGTGACAGAATAGTGACGCATGCCAGTGTGACAGAATAGTGACGCATGCCAGTGTGACAGAATAGTGACGCAAGCCAGTGTGACAGAATAGTGACGCATGCCAGTATAGTGACGCATGCCAGTGTGACAGAATAGTGACGCATGCCAGTGACACAGTAGTGACGCATGCCTGTGAGGGAGAATGGTGAGGTGAAAGAGGACGCATAACGCACCTGTCTCTCCGAGAGCCCCAGCATGGAGGCCAACTCAGACTTCCTCCTTATGGTGATGTATCTGGAGTAGTGGAACTCCTTCTCCAGTTCGAGGCGCTGGTGGTCACTATACACCACCCGGTACTTGTCCTTGGTTCGAGTCTTGCCTGCAAGGTCGAGGAGGAGGTTAGTGCTGGCCCTCAAGTGTCATCTTGGTACTAATTGCAATATCTTAACATACTAAGAAGGTTAGGTTAGGTCGGTGTTTTCTATTCAGCTTTTCAAGGTAAACTCAAATATTCACAATATATTAGTATGTCACATATGCACTTATTCATAAGCCAAATATTGACTATAAGCAAGTGCGAGACCGGGTTGCACCTTTCTCTCTCTCTCTCTACGAATGTTCTACTGTTTTGTGCTTTTTAATGTATAAAATTATATTTCTAAAAGCAAAATCGATTAATTCTATTAATATAAATTTATATTAATATAAATATATTAAAATTCTATGGGATTCTAAATGTATGTATTATATTACATTAATAAAATTATTATTATTATTTTCTAGCGTGTATATGTTCCAAGGTTTCTCTAGTTAAACAACTAATAAATCAAATAATTAAATTATTATATAGAAGCAACAGTTAAATTATTATGTTGAAGCAACTATTAAATTATTATTGAAACAACAATTCAATTATTAAATTGACGGATTTTTTTATTAACAAGCTTAAGTATACACAGCAATGAGCTGCTACCCAATTCTATGTGAAAGATTGCAAAGTGTAGATAAAAACCTAGTTATAACTACATCTAATAATAATAATAATAATAATAATAATAATAATAAATAAAATTATTGACGGAAACAACATTTAGAGAACTTATAAGTTATTCCGTTTCAAAGTTAATGAAAATGAAAATTAAATATGAAATTTCTGCAGAGACTTAAATAATTTTTCTGAGACATTACACACAGAAATCACAATAGCGTGATGCATCAATGAACAAATCCACAAGGGCCGTGACGAGGATTCGAACCTGCGTCCGAGAGCATCCCAGACGCTGCCATAATCGACTGAGCTACGACATGGTCAAAAGAGTTGCAACCAGAAGTTCTGATTTGTTCAAGTTTTCTGAATGTAAAACAATAGCATCTAGCAGTTTTTGTATTGGTTTCTTATTTGTATTTTGGACACACTTAGTATTTATTTTTTGTCTCCCGTCTCAGCATAAGTAAGAGAAGATAGCATACTTATAAAGAAATATATAATGAAATGGAAGAGTTTGCATAAGGACTATAGAAAACGACGAAGCGAAAAATAAGAGGGAAACTATTGTAATACTTTTGTTAAATATTTCTTAATTAATAATTAATAATTCATTGTTTATATCAAGGTTCTCCTCCGCCCCCCCAAGGTAGAATTATTGACTTCTCAGGACGCCACTCCACAACAAGCTAACTCACTGGTACCTATTAAATTACTGCTAGGTGAACAGATGCATTAGATAATAGAAAACCGCCCAACCATTTCTGCGCCGGCCGGGACTAGAACCCGGGATTCTCGATTGTGAGTCGAGAACAAACCCAACTCACATGTAGCACAGCCAATGTTCGCCTCAGATCAAGCTCTGTTAAGGTTATCTTGAGATGATTTCGGGGCTTTAGTGTCCCCGCGGCCCGGTCCTCGACCAGGCCTCCACCCCCAGGAAGCAGCCCGTGACAGCTGACTAACACCCAGGTACCTATTTTACTGCTAGGTAACAGGGGCATAGGGTGAAAGAAACTCTGCCCATTGTTTCTCGCTGGCGCCCGGGATCGAACCCGGGACCAATGGATCACAAGTCCAGCGTGCTGTCCGCTCGGCCGACCGGCTCCCGAAGGCTAAGCGAAGATCAAAGACAGCTAAGTCTAAACACAGCGAAGGCTAAACACAGCTAAGGCTAAACACAGCTAAGGCTAAACACAGCTAAGGCTAAACACAACTAAGGCTAAACACAGCTAAGGCTAAACACAGCTAAGACTGAAAGTATATTAAGCACAGCTAAGGCTTAGCTGAGCTAAGACTAAGCTCAGATCACACCAAGCGGACGGTCTCCTAGTTCTCAGGGCGGTCCAACCTAGCGGCTACTTGTCGTGGCAAGTATTAATGATAATAATAATAATTAAATAATAATAATAATTAAATAATAATAATAATAATAATAATAATAATAATAATAATAATAATAATAATGAGGGGCCAAGTTATTACAAGTCGAACCTGGCCTCACCGGACGCTGTGCGCTGGACGGTGGTCACCGGACGCTGTGCGCTGGACCATGTTCGACGCTGTACATTAACTGCTATCCGCGCGTCAATGCGCTCTAATATATATATGGTTGTTGTAGCGACATATTGTGAGGATCGTTGTTGGAGAGTGAGTGGTTGTAGTGGTGATATGATGGACGCGGTTAATGAGCGTTGATTGTGGTTGTAGAGGTAGTTGTGGCTGGGTTCTAATACTAGTACTGCAGTATGGTTGTTGTGAAGAGGTATTCGGAGGAAAGATTAAGATTATAAGGTATTAATCCTTACTCTGGCTAAGTATGGGCCACATGCAGGTTCCGTGTCTGCTTATATGAGACTATACTGACTATACTGCTAACATATAGGCTCCGTGTCGGCTGGGTGTGTCTATAAATGCTGATACTTCTTAAAGCATTTAACTTGGCCTGAACCCGACCAACCTATGTTCATCCCATACCCCAGGCAAGTCCTCTTGCAAAGTTGGGTGAGGCTATCCCCGAGCCTCTGGTATCCAACCAGGGATAGAAGATCCAACAAACAAAAATAAACAAAAATTCTTTCATACATGTGCCTAACAGCCAGAATACAATACTTGGCCTAGCATACAAGACCCGATTTGCCTAACAGGCAGAGTGAATTTACTTATTTTCAAACTGGTATACTTGAATTAGTATTATTATATTATACTAAGAAGCTAAATTACTAATTTAGTTAGGTTAGGTTAGGTTAGGTTAGGTTAGGGTAGGGTAGATTAGGTTTGATAAAAATTTCTGTTAGTTTTAACTCAAATTAAAAAATGGAATATTATAAAAAAATTATAAAATATATTTTTATCATAAAAATAATGGAAAGCTTTATCTTAAGAATTTGTTTTTAGAGAAATACATAATTCCAGGAAAACTTGTATTGTTCGGCAGTTATTCAACTTGGCCTATTAGGCACAACATATATCATAGATAGAAAGTTTACCAATATCTATAATTATATGTAATCACCCATACAAATTGTGCATCATGATTTATATAGAATTATGACTAGTCTATAATCACTAATACCAATAATGTGCATTATAAATTATATAATTTTGACTAGTGATTATATAATCAGATTAATGTGCATGATTAATGCACAGATCATTGACTTAATATAATATTAATAATCATGGCTTACTATGATTAGTAAATCAAGATATAGTGTATATTCGTAATCATTCAATAATCATATTTATTACTCAATTATAATCAAATTATATAATAATTATAGAATTTAAAAATCTAAAAAATGAATCACTAAATAAAGTTCCTGAATAATTATAAAACAGTTTAATCCTCATCAATATTGGATTTGCTCAATGATCGTATATAATACTAACGTTAATAAAGTCATATAATTGCTATAAGGATATTATAACAAAAAACGGAACGACGAGATTAAAGTACAACTTGTTAAACAGTTTTATTCTCAACAACGGAGTACAAGATTTATTTATGCATTTATTTATGTAATTATTTATGGATTTATTTATATATTTACAAGAAGGTACAATGGGTTCGTGAGATTATATAATATTCGTATTTTTACATACTTGTAAACACGCATAGCGTTTCTGGCGGTAAATAAGATCTAAAATTATTCCATAAAATCGCGCTTGAAAACATTATTTTTTTCCTTAAAAATATTATTATTATTATTACTATATTTTCAACTCGCAATTATGCCTCACAAATGCAGCCACATAAAAGTATATGTAATTGATTCTTAATGTTTATATAACAAGCCATGTTCAGACGATGTCAAGGCGCCACGCTCAGAATATGACATTCATATAAGAAAAGACTTTTCATATAACGGGAGTATGACTGGAGCGACATTTCTGATATCAGTAGTTTTATCGCTAGACCGTTCCCCCCCCCCTTAACCTCCCTCCTAATCAGTGTAGCCCCCAGCTTGCAATAATTAGTGTAGTCCCCAGCTTGTAATAATTAGTGTAGCCCAAGCTTGCACTAATTAGTATAGTCCTAGCTTGCAATAATTAGTATAGTCCTAGCTTGCAATAATTAGTGTAGCCCCCAGCTTGCAATAATTAGTGTAGTCCCAGCTTGCAATAATTAGTGTAGCCCCAGCTTGCAATAATTAGTGTAGCCCCCAGCTTTTAATAATAGTATAGTCCCAGCTTGCAATAATTAGTGTAGCCCTAGCTTGCAATAATTAGTGTAGCCCCAGCTTGCAATAATTAGTGTAGCCCCAGCTTGCACTAATTAGTATAGTCCCAGCTTGCAATAATTAGTGTAGTCCCCAGCTTGCAATAATTAGTGTAGCCCCAGCTTGCAATAATTAGTGTAGCCCCAGCTTGCAATAATTAGTGTAGCCCCAGCTTACAATAATTAGTGTAGCCCCAGCTTGCAATAATTAGTGTAGCCCCAGCTTGCAATAATTAATGTAGTCCCAGCTTGCAATAATTAGTGTAGCCCCAGCTTGCAATAATTAGTGTAGCCCCCAGCTTGCATTAATTAGTGTAGCCCCAGCTTGCAATAATTAGTGTAGCCCCCAGCTTGTAATAATTAGTGTAGTCCCACCTTGCAATAATCAGTGTAGCCCCCAGCTTGCAATAATTAGTGTAGCCCCCAGCTTGCAATAATTAGTGTAGCCCCAGCTTGCAATAATTAGTGTAGCCCCAGCTTGCAATAATTAGTGTAGTCCCACCTTGCAATAATTAGTGTAGCCCCAGCTTGCAATAATTAGTGTAGTCCCACCTTGCAATAATTAGTGTAGCCCCAGCTTGCAATAATTAGTGTAGCCCCAGCTTGCAATAATTAGTGTAGCCCCAGCTTGCAATAATTAGTGTAGCCCCCAGCTTGCAATAATTAGTGTAGC